TACGATAAATAGTTGGTACTAATTGGTTAACTGTGTCATTTTTAGCTTATAGCTTTCAGAGGAATGTGAACCATCAGTGAGCATACTTTCTTTTGATAAAAATCACGAGTTAGACAAGCTAAGTTATACATTGAGGAAGAAGCACCTATTATATTGTTTAACTAAGTTGTGAAATATATCTGAACAATGAAGTATTCGATCTTATAAATGCGCTTTTTTAATCTGCTTAAGTATTATTTTGGTATACTAGATGACACTAGTCAAACAGAAAAGTATTATCGTCATGAGAACTGACATAAGCTTTTAATAGTGTGAATGGCTACGCATCAAATTATCACATAGAAGTAGAAGGAAACAGAAGCGTAGATGAGAAAATAGAAATGTTACAATCATACATCATCCACATTTGTGATTCAAATGGTAGCAGAAATAAAAGGAATGACTGTATATGATATTACGATTGAGATTATGTATGGTGAAAGTGAGTTATTGTGAAGAGCTATGCGATTCGTTACGTAAATTTTTTCTCGTAGTTTTCAGCTTCAAGTACATATTTCTTCATATAATTTAACCCAACAGTGAGTAGCTTAGTAGGTTTTCCCAGTGTTTTTCATCCTCAGGTATCTTCCTACCTAGTTCTTCTTCATATAACAATTCCGATGGGAATAGATAGTGTTCCATCACGTGTGCCACGTTTTTTAGCCACCTCAGCTTCCGATAGCTTTTATCACCACACTACTAGCCTACTTTCACTACGTCTATTCTTTACTTTGTTCGCATGATGTTCCACTGTATTTGTGCGATGTTACGAAGGCAGATGCACCCAAGTACTTGGGGTATTTTATATCCTGCCCCTTCCTTGACTTTATTTAAATTTCTGATTTAGGAAGGATTGAACTGGTTTGCAATACACTCAACTTTAATAAGCAATCAAGTATCTTACCTGCACTGTAAGTGACACAAACCAATAAGCGACCAAGAGGTCTTTGTCTTGGTTTGGAGACTTCCCTCCACCACTTTATTGGGGCGGACTAACTGTTCCAAACAAGTGAAGCAGTCGTTTACGACCAGCTTTCTTTCTGTTGTCGGATAGATTATTAACGTAGATCATTCCTGAAGCAGCAGTTTACACTTTGGAAGTAAGAACTGCGTCTAAAACATACTTAGACTGTCAATTTACGAGTTCAGAAGACTACCTGTCTGACAGAAAAATCAACGTAAAATTTTTACAGAGCTGAATCATTCTAAGTTGTTTCACTTAACAGCAGCATCCAAACTAGAATTTAAGGAAAAGTAGTGACAATAACCCGAGTGAAAATGTATGAGAAGAAAGCGAAATACGAATGAAGATTATTGAAACTGCTTTAGAGTTTTAGGATGCCAAAAATAACCAACATTCGCACTGTTCTAACTGATGAAGCGCTTCAGCAAGCGTCTTCATAGTCTGTCTACCCTTTGTCTTCTTCCACCCCAATCCTACTTCTGCTAAAATGATTCATCCAGTAAGGCATCGAGTATTGCTAAAAAGACGTCTGTAGTCAAAACCTCCGCTTATAGCCATGCATTCAGCCTTTACATCAAGTAAGAAAGCAGAAATTGAACGTCTTTTGTAAATAATCGTCACTAATACTCAGAACACGACAGCTTACTATGAGTGTTCAAGTATGCAACATTGGCTAGGGTGATATTTTTCTCGGGCACTACTTTCAATAGGAAACACTCTCCAGAACTGTTAAGTGATTGAAATTAACCCCAGGTTTATGTTGATAAACTTATATTTCATTGGATTAGCTATCAAATCAACTGAAAATAACGTCTCTATTGCTGACTGTGCGTTCGTTCAACCATCTTCGTAATTTGACCAATAACCAGCTTATGGTTTATCATCAAGCAAGCTGTATAGAATAAATTGATTGATGAATGAATAATAAATATAATGGCGTTACTCAAGCATAAGATAGAATTTTAATTGGCTGTTTTTCATACTGTAGTAAAGGTTCAAATCAGTTTCCAAGATATCTTATCCTATAACAAACGGATTACTATAATCTCATTTACCAGTGCAGATTCAGTCACTGATACACTTGACGTTATGTTAACCTTGGGAATATCACTATACAGCATAAAATCAGCACACATTCTACTACAGTTTATTTCTTTAGAGAAGAGGCTCTACCTGGACACCTTCGTTTATTGAACTTGATCTATGTCTTGTGAGTATTGTAAGCGATTAAATCTTCCATCTCATCAAATAAACCGATTTGTTTTAAAGTACATCTAAGAATTGTTTTTGTCACATCTGTAAGTCTATAAATGATTTGAGTTCGATTTGGAGATCTTTGATAAAATGTTACGATAAAAGGCATCTACAGCCTAACTAGAAACTTTGAATGAAACGGTTTAACATGTTTCAAATAGAAGGATATTTTATTACAATTCAGTTTTATTGAATTAAATATTCCAACCCTGATGTGATTATGAGTAATAAGCTGTGGTGGAAACGTCATCTAGTAAATGACAATCTACCAATTTATGTCAAGTAAACTAACTTGATATGAAATATTTGTAGTGTCATTTGGTATTTGATTACCAACGTAGTTGTTAAAGCTGTTTGCTTTATGCCCATTTAGTCATTGATTTAAGGCCTTTTCAGCTGTTTCACTTTCAACAATCAGGTAATAGTGTTGATACGCTCACATAGATGATACTTTTATGTGACTATATATCTGTTTATATATAATTATTGTACAGAAAATCAATATATCATTTAGATAAAAATATCTTGCTAAAAATCATGCATTAAACATGTTTTAAAATGGTACTTATCAAAAGTTCAGCTATGACGTACCATTTAACAAAATAGAAGCTTATTTAAATAAAGAATTTCAAATTTTTTGTTTTACTGATTGACAGCTGGTTTTGTGTGCTGTAACATTATTTTTATTTTTCTTCTAAGCCATTGATCCTATAATGATTGTGATTAAGTTTGCTAGGGAATCGAGGCATGTGGTGTCCTGTTTAACGGCGTACTCTCCTTGTGAAGTAGTAATCTCATTTATTAGTGTACTAACTTAAAGATAGGTAGGTTGAGAAAATCGATATTTAATAGTCCTCTAGCTACCATTTTTGCTAGTTGTTTTTCTGTGTATTTGATCATATATTATTAGTGAAAACTCCTAGCGTGATTATATTTTGTTGTTTACAGTGTCTTTTCGCATAACATAGGATAAGGTTATTTAACCTGTTGATCTGGGTTTTCCTATCCTCTAAGCATTCAATAGGGGGAACGTTGAAATTCATTTCATATAATGAGATCTAGATGGCCAAGTGCGTCTCACAATCCTAGTATATTACCATGTACGCTTTTATTGAGTTACACTGTGTACTTATTATATTAGGCAAATATATACTTACATGGATTAAAGTTTCCTGTTCAAGTAAGAGTTTATCTTTAACTAAAATGTCTGTGATCAGTAAATTAACCATTAGTGTATTCATAGATGAAGGTTCTTAAACGAGAAAATATCTGGAATAAGATGGTAGTAAAATCCCTCGTAACCACTGAACCTGCTTTATGTTCTTGGAATCTAAGATCTATAATTTCTATGTCATATTCTTGATAGTACTACATTAAGAAAGACATTCACCCATTCAAAGATACGAAATTAAATACTAAAAAAAGGTGAAATTCACTTATTCCTGTCCTTCATACCGTATGTCGTTGTCTATATAGCGTTCTAATTGTATTATTTCTAGAGAGAGTTCAGACTTCTGAAGAAGATACCACTTTCCTTCAGGCTGCTGGTATGTGTCACTGCTGAGTGTCAACAGATCCATTAATTGTAATGAATAAATATCATATTATTTCTACTTTGTTTTCCGTTTTATAAGTTGACTTATCATATTACAAGACACTATATAATGACTCTGTTTTCATTCGGTGGCTGAAAGCGTGATATTCACGTCATTAATTACCGATAACCTTTCGTTGTGATCATTAGAATATATCCCACAAAGTGAAGATTAATTGTCTGTTTTTTAACCACCTATTATTTTATAGTCCTACGCAAATATAATACACACATGAATGACGTTATTATGTTATAATAAATATCATGCGGTTTACAATCCTGATGATAAACACTATTGCTTCCAGTTACTTGCTGTTATTTTTATCCAGCTGGTACTGATATTTGTTAAAATTACTGTTAATTCTGTCTCATGTTGACGTGAACCATTGCTTTGGTTTCAAGAAGTAATCTGAATATTCTACCTATATTCAACAATTACCGAAGAAAGTAGTGATGATATAACAATGCAGTGGTCTTCATAAATATTTCTGTAGTCGTAACTGGAACCATCACATAATTAATGTCCTCTTACTGTTAGTTACCATTTATTATTTAGCTTGCTAAGATTTTGGAAAGTTTCAGTCTATGGCTCTGATGGTCATCTGTTGAGAATGATAACTAATCAACTTAGGCTTTCCATTGGTATTTTTTGTGGTTTACTTTAACAAGCAGTCAGTTACTTATCAAGCTGACCTAGCCTTTTTAGAACAGAGTGTCAATAAGCCCAAATCCTGGGTCCAGGGTTTCCTGCTGAATGACTCCGAACACCTTAGTTCAGTACACCGTAGTGTCACGTCATTTATCTAAGGGGATGCATTAAAACTTGATCGATTAGATGAGATCAGTGCTGGAAACTAATTATTGTATTCGTTACCCATTGATAACCAGTTCACCTACTGTTAAGTGATGTACTCGGCAAAATGTAAGTTGATCTAACTAGAACTGAAAACCTTTGAACTATATGATTAATATCCTGTAAGATTTCCTTAATTCTGTTTATAGATAATGGGTGTCAAATTGGTTACACTTTCCTCTTGCCTGTAAATCTCTCACTACAAGTATTCATGACTGTCAAATCCTTTTACTCATTTACCCGCTTTACTTCAAACGTTTCAATATTCTTGTTCTTTATGGTTATTATCACTATAGGTACACAAAGGTCAGCTCAATACAAACTATATGCTGTATCTAATCACAGTGGAAATGTTTACACTGGACATTACACAGCCTCATGCTTAAATCCTTATACAGGTAACTGGTACTCCTACAATGATAGTCAGTAAGTTCCGTTGTAATTCTTTTAGTTAAAATCATATCTCTCGCTGAAATACTCTTTTATGTATTCAAACAACATTCTGTCTGATAGCCTGAAGGTCAAGGGTTCTAATGCGATTGCAAACTTTGGTTTTTCCCTTCACTTCTATTGTCACCTCCTAGAAGAAGCTGATTCTACCAAACTAAGTTTATATCATTTAGTTTAGTGAAACAATCAAATTCGGATCTTGACAAGATTTCAGTTAGTGACTTCTAAACTACCGACATGATATTCTAACAACTAATCTAGGAGGAAATATCAACTACACCCGGATATTCATTCCGTTATCGAGTTTTTCACTCGGCTTACATTCGAATGGGCTGTATAGCCTCGTCCTTTGTTGATAACACTATCCTATCGTCAAGTTTAGTCAAATGCTCAAATACAAATTGGGTAGAATTGAAGATATCGATTAACTCATTGTTATTGTTGAAATGATATATGCATAAATACTATTTGAAGTTAGATGTTGGGACTCAGTGTTGAGCAAACCCTAGACCTTGGCTGGTCGGTACTCATCAGCAAGGTGTATTTGCATACATGAAAAAACTATCTTTCTCTCGGTGATTCCAGCTTGCATAATCAGTGCTGAAGACAGAAACTTAACGACTAAGCTATTCAGGTCACACTATACTTGTCCCTTGTCATCCAACATAATTAGTGGATAACACTTTGGCGTTTGAAGCTTCGGGCACCAGGTTTGAGTTCCATTGGGAACACTATTACTCACCGGGATGCAGGTACACTCAGCTGTGGAGTCCTAAATAATGCGAAACTCACTTCATGTCATGAGATACTACACAACATAATGAGTATTCAGTCGATATTGAGGCATTGCCATAAAAGAGGCCATCTACCTCCAGCTGTCAGGTGATTCGATCCAGTGTAGCAACGGGAATTACAAATATCAGTGAATAAGAACTACAATTTGCCAGGTTTACCCTGATTAGTAGTCAATTTTCTGTCGCGTTGTTCTGATTTCCGAATGAATTCTAGGGACGGATTTGTCAACTCTTTTACAGACTAATTTATTCTATAGTTTCTTTTTTGGTCTTTTCATTAGTATGACCACAATTGCGAAGTACACGCAGTTAATTATACCTTCGTATATTCTCCCAATAATATAGACGTGATAAATGGCTTTTCTGAAACCACATATATCAGATTATATCCGTTAAAATAGCACCTTGTATTACTTATTTCATGAATATATTGAGTGGGATCATTCCCTGCAAGCTATTGGTGTCTCTTTTGATATTGAACATGTTTCTGTTTTATCGGAAAGCTTCAAAGCTCACACTGGCACGATATCTATTTTAGTGTTGACGGTAAATATCAGTAGAAAGGAGAGTATTATGGATTCGCTAACCAGCGTCTACATCCAACATAGTTAAGATTGGTCATTTTGACTAATGACTAGTGTAGCTGCTAAGTGTTGCAGCCTTTAAAGTCACTTTTTTCATTCCTGCATTCATACAATGTTTGTTTGCTAATTGTGCACAGGGACTCCTCAAATATTTTTTCCTGTTTTTATTTTAGTGTACACGCTATCTCAGAAAATTCAGTTGTCTCTGCTGAAGGCTATGTACTTTTCTATACACTTGTTCGATAATATTTCAATTTTGTTATTTTCCTTTTCTTTAGAATTTGTAATTTTCAGTTAAATGTTTAACTTCAAGGAGTAAAACAGATATATGTATGTACTCATAAACATGTGTATGTAGTATGCAGTTATAAACAGTGTATGTTATCTTCAATTCACTGAATATAATATACCTTTTTATTTGCTTATTTAATTATTATTGGTTTTGTGCATAATGCTTTGTGTAGAATAAAAATTCTGTAAAGAAAAATTAACGTACTACTGAATACTACTATTTATTTATGTTATTGGGCTTTCACTGAAAACAAAGGAGGCGAAGAATAAACTGAATTTAAACAAATTTCTTGCCTTCGTTACCTGAATCAATTTTCAATTACCCTGCTATTTTTATGCATATCTCAGTGGTAACTCAGAACTGCACAAGACTACATAGTTTATATATTTATATTGATGTGAAAGAAAGTAAAAATGAGTCAATTAACGTTACTATCATCTTTTATGATGAACCCCTTTGTGTTTTTATCCTTTCCTCGTTCTGCTGTGTATCGTACTTCTTATTTTATATCTACTGTAAAATACTGAAAAAGGTCTATTTCAGTTATCAAGATTTCATTACGTGTGTGTATGTGTGTGTGTACATGTGCCCGTTTTTCCATTCCGTGGTACTTGATTATGAGTTTGTGTGTATGTATGCTTGTGTACGTAACTAGATGCTTATTCTTGATTTCTATGTATTTCTCACATATTAATTCTCCCTTTTAACCTTTCAACTTTGTCTTCCAAAAAGATATATAAACATAGAATGGATAAATGTTTATTAAAGGTATTCCACGTTGTTAATTATCCACTAACTTGTGTGATTTTGAGTTAAAGACAGACGGCTGTGATTTCTACCACTAAGCATGTGGAAGTGGTTCTCTTTTCCATTTCGGTGTACAACATAAACTATTGTTATTATCTTTCGTATTTTGCTCAAAGTGAAGAGATTCTACTGACCTGTTATCAGCTTTATTAAAAATAAGCCTATTTTAGATTATTTTGACTGTTGTAGCTAAAAACGTAGAAATAGCTGCAATATATATATATATATATATATATATATATATATATATATATATATATATATAATCTCAGCGCACATATTTTAAACTGCAGTTCAATGCAAATACTTTATTGAATTTTGAACATATGCATACATGTACTTATCGTCAGATAAATAAACAAAAGCAACCACCTTTTTGTCGGTACTATTGCTGTTATTTCTGTGTAGCAATAGTGAAAATTGTTACTTGTAAGTATTGAACTTACGTGAAATAGATTTTCCATGTATGTACTTATCGGTTTCATTTTTGTGCTTCTTCAGCAACCATCTTGATGAGAAAAGCTTTTGTGTTGGTAAACGTGGAATCGATTGGTTTTTGGACGACAAAGAATTTATTTATAAGCGAGGCGAATAAAACTATGCAACAGTTAACGTATTCACATTGTAAAATGGTTGGTGGTGAATCCTAATGTTACTCTTTGTTTGGCGATGGTTAGCGATGAAATCGAGAATGTGCATCGCATTTTACCCAGGAGTAAACAGCCGTATGCATTTAGTGTCTGAGGCGATGATTATTTTGTTCAGATATCAATGGAATACAGGTACGTGCAGCCAACAAGTCTTGAATAGATTTAAATCCTTACCCTGAACTCCACTGCTAGCACTAGCAGCAAGCTTATGGCACCGAAATGAAACTAAAGGTGATAAAGTATCCATTGTTCGAGACCAGCGGAGAACCGTTAAATCCAATCCGGCAAAGCAAAGTATGATAAATACTCGATTGTGGTCAAGCAGTTATTCTGAGGATTGGTTTTGCGGTCCTTATCTCTTCCACTGAATTGGTAATACACATTTCGTAGACATATATACCAGACTTTTGAATTTATTGGAGTTATACTTTTATGTATTGATTGGTCACGGGAGTGCAACTAATTTCAGGAGGTCAATCACGTCCCGAATAGCTCAGCGGTAAAGTTGCTGACTACAACACTGGGTGTCGCGGGTTCGAGTCTCAGTCGGGACGTCAGTTCCTTCGAGGTTGCAGATAGACCTTGCTGACGAGCGCCAAAAAGCACGAAGCCTAGGTCCAGGGCTTCCTGCCGATTGCCTCCATCCAAGTAGCAGTTAAACTTTTGAAACAGCCTAAAACTGAATAGTGCACCCATCAGTTATAAGTGACTTTATCATCTGGTGATTACATTTGAATCGGGAAATCTGTTAATGCTAATGAATGACTTTAATGTAGATATTTGGGCACGTAGTTTTCATTCGCGTTACTCGTCAGGTATGTAACGTGGGTTGAGCTGTTTGTTATTTCATCTGTTGCTAATTTCAGTGACTTAGTCACAAAGCATGTCACATTTTAGGATGTAATACGACATATTTTAAACGAAAATAATAAGGACTGAAGTCAACTTCAATGGAATGGTTTGTCAAAAATAATGAGCAAAACTAAAAATCTGCATACACTAGAAACCGCAAGTTTGCAACTATGAAAGTTGTCTTGAAACATCAGTCTTATTTCAAACTAAATCCCATTTGTTCAGAATTCAACTATCTTCTCAAAATCCACTAAACAGTAAAATGGTTTACCAGCAAGATTTACACCATCTTACAAAATTTCATAACTAATTTAGTAAAACAAACAATGTGAGCGAAGAAATATTTCTTTTTAATTAGTTCCTCATCAATGGCTCTACACTAATATAGCATTTTCAAACGTAAAATTACATACCAATCTAGTGGTGAGAGTTGTTCAATGAAAGGTTATCAATCTCAAAGTATCAAGAAGGTGATAATTGATCAGGTAATTAAGACAGTTAACTAAAGCAAAGATTAATTATCGTAGAAAGATTTTGTGAACAGGTTCTTACATAATTTATATTTTATATAATGATAACTAAAGAGCAACAATGAACTGTTACGTAAAATGGTAAATCGTTGACGGTAATTAGAGACAGTAGGGGAAGAGAAAGATGGTTAAGTCTGTAATAATAATAATAATAATGGAGCTATTAAAATATTAGTCATAGTGAATTGTGTGGTGGATGAAATGAAGAGTCTTGTTGCAATAAATGAGCTATACAGATGGCCAAGGCAAAGAAAGAGGCTGTACGAATCTCTTCTGAACACACAGACTTGGCTTATGTAGGTGGATTCCTATGGCTTCTGCTGTATGTATGTATGTATGTATGTATTATTATTATTACAGACTTAACCATCTTTCTCTTCCCCTACTGTCTCTAATTACCGTCATAGATTTACGTAACAGTTCATTGTTGCTCTTTAGTTATCATTATATAAAATATAAATTATGTAAGAACCTGTTCACAAAATCTTTCTACGATAATTAATCTTTGCTTTAGTTAACTGTCTTAATTATCTGATCAATTATCACCTTCTTGATACTTTGAGATTGATAACCTTTCATTGAACAACTCTCACCACTAGATTGGTATGTAATTTTACGTTTGAAAATGCCATATTAGTGTAGAGCCATTGATGAGGAACTAATTAAAAAGAAATATTTCTTCGCTCACATTGTTTGTTTTACTGAATATCTAAATGGGAATTTTCGCATTACTAATAACTAAATGTTAGTCTTGGGCACCATAGCTATCATACTTTGAAATTATCACAGTGTCTTAAGATACTTCAGTCGAACCGCGTCAAAATTCGACATCCAGTTAGTTAGGCAGATATAATTAGAATAATACCAATATACTGGTTTGTAATTGTAGCTAGTATTTCGGTTGCGGAGAAGCAATACTTAACAGAAGCACATAAGCATTGGAAAGGCATTAATTATCACCCAGTAAATAAACATCTCAAATAGGCGAAATCTATATGTTAGGTTGTAGTATTCAATGATGTGACGAGACTGTAAACAGGATGTTCAACTGTACAAAAATCACTGAGAAAATTGATTTCGTAATAAAAGTAACCGTTAATCGACTCCGCCTTACACGAAACACGATATCTAATAATAGAATAATGAAAATAAATTGGTTTGACTCATCAAAATTGAGGATGAATTTGAAACTGAGCAAGCAAATATGAAAACAGTTGGTTTGAATAACATGAAAAGTGAATAAGCGTGAAGACACGTAAAAGTGGCTGTACAGGAAACACTGAATAGTGTGTTCTGTTAAATTACTACTTACTTCATTTCATTATTTACATAAGTACACTGCTTCTGTTCAATTGGTGCCGTATGACATGCAGAAAATTCTGTTCAGTATTCCAGAAATATCTTCAAGAATAAAGCCATTATTATAATTATTACTTCAATGTATACAACACATGAACCAATCAAGGTTATCTGTGAGTCAATGGTAACAGGGGTGTGGATTTGTATCCTTTAAAATAATAAAAAATAGTGGTAGTATGAGGGATAACATGAGTGTTCAGAATGGCACTACAATGTACGCAGATGATCAGATAGACAGACAGACAATGCATACCAAATCCGAGAAATGGATGATTAGGTTGCCTAATACTAGAAGACCTCGCCTGGTTAACTAGTTCACTAGTCACTAGCCGGTCCTAAGCCCGGGTAGAGAGAGAAGGTTGGGCATAGGGCTAGCAACCCTACCCCGTAAAACAAATCTAACCGCTAAAGAAACTTCAAAGCACAAACAAAATATAAAAAATGAAAACAAAATTATTCCTCGCTGGAATCGGAGAGGCGAAATGACGTCAGTTGGTGAAAGCCTTCGGGAAGCCAATTGGCCGATGTGTCTTCTCCCCCTCGATGAAAGCGAAAGTAAACGTGGGGATATGGAATGTCCGTACGATGTTTGAACCCAGTAAGGCAGCCCAGATTGCAAACGAGATGAGAAGGTATGACATGGAAGTGCTTGGAATCTGCGAGTAATTTGCAGATGGAATGGAAGTGTACTCTCCAAACTGTCAACTGGAGAGACAATAATCTACTCCGATATTGTCACCCAGACGACAACCACGAGCACACTGAGTTATGGAGTGGCTATCATGATGTCCCCAAGAGCATTGAAGGCTCTCTCTCATGCAGTGGGAACCAATCTCCTCCATCATCAGGATCATGACAGCAAGATTCAGCTCAAAAGGAAGGAATGAAGGTCACAATCATTCAATGCTACGCTACGCACCTACAAATAATGCTGCAGGTTAAGAGAAGAAGGAGGAATTCTACAGACAACCGCGATCAGTACTAGACAAAACTCAAGCTGGCGACATCTAAATCCTATTGGGCGACATGAATGTCAAAGTGGGAGCGGAAAACACAGGAAGAGAACTCATCATGGGCCGAGAAGCGCTAGGTGAAATGAACGAGAATGGAGAATTGTTTGTGGAACTCTGTGCATTCAACGATTTGGTGATTGGAGGCGGGGCAGTGTGTTCAAGCACAAGGATATCCACAAGTCAGCGACATGGACTTCACCAGATGGACACAGTAAAAATCAGATCGACTTCATCTCAATGTGAAGAAAATGGAGTCGCAGTCTACTTGACACAAGGTCAAGAAGAGGAGTAGATGTAGGTTCACACCACTCACTATCTAGTGCAAGAACCTTCGAAATCAAGTTGAAAGCCTTCAAGGAAGCTGATGATAGACGGCAGTTCAAGTACAACACTCGGAGACTGAAGGATGAAACTACAAAGGATATCTTCACGTCGGTCAGCCATCAAGACAAAATGGGAGATGTCGAGCAGCATCTCTGAAGAAACCTGTGTGGAAGAACACTGGAAGTCTTTGAAAGCTATATGGGAAGAAATCTGCACAACAGTATTAGGAAGGAAGAAGGTGGAAGACAAGGAATGGATCTCAATGGATACATGGAAGCTGGTGGAGGAGAGGAGGATGGTGAAGAAGAAGATGAACCAGTGCAAGGAAGCTCAACGACAAGAGGAACTCAGCACAATGTATAAAACACTGGACAAAGAAGTGAAGAAGAGTGCACACAAAGACAAAAGACACTTCTACGAAACACTGGCAAGTGAAGCAGAACAGGCTGCAGGTAAGAGAGACCTGACGACATTGTATCAAATAACCAGG